GGTCTCCCATGCAGACACAAACTTTAAAGGAGAAGCCCTTACTGCCTGTTACTGTGCAATAGGAGTAAGATCAAGAGCTATGTTACTGGCAGGCAGATCTCCACATACAGCATGGTGGAAGATATTAGTAAGGGCCATGTCAGATGGGCTATTCTGTTGCTGGCAACATGTTATCAGAATCACCAAGGTAAGTCAACCATTTACTCCATTGGCGTTGTCTCTCCCTGGCCTTGAACACCACAGAGTCTCGCTCATAAGAAAGGGCAGCAGTGAGGTCATCGCAATGCTCCCATCAGTGAAGGAGTGCCTTCATTGGAAATGTAAGTGATCTTTAAGTGGCCCTGTGCTCAATAGCTAAAAGATCGTTCACCTGACATCAGCCTAACTGATTCTCTTGCCATACAAGTAAAAAATTAGGTCAAAGGTCAACTGCAAGTTAGACAAAGGTCAACTGAAAGGTCAACTGCAGGTCAAAGGCACCTGTCAATGAATTCTAAGTGATCTCAATAAGCATCTAAAACTAATGTCAAATACAAGTGCAAAGCATCAGAAAGCAAGGTGCATTTTTCCATCAGCACTACATATAAGCTAAGACAGTTTCACTCACTACCCTAACTTGGTGTGCCAGTCTCACAGAACTATTTAAACCACATTTCAGTACTGATCTTTTGACACGTGGCCAGTATGGCACACTGTGAAGGAATCTGGCTGCCCACAGACTGACGTAGCTTGAACTCTATATACTTAAAGCACCTTTCTCAGTTGTAATCAAAGTCTAGCTCAACAGGGGTTGTCATCTCTGAAGCTGAAAATGTGCAGTACTGCCCAACTCTCTTGCCAGTGTTCCACTGTATCCCAGGCTTCCACATCACACATACTTTTCCATTCCCTGACCACTGGCCAAATTGCAGCCCAAATGTAACATATTTGTGACACAGGAAGCTGCAAAGTTGCAGAAGTCAATAATAGGGCCACCCCACTGGCTATGCAGTGTGGTAGAGAATTATTCGACACAAGAATAAAAGAATTTGCATATACTGCATGGAGGCCACACTTCAAAGCTGTGTTTGGAGTTCTACTTTAAACATAAATGGATATATAGCACAGTTGCAGTTTTTCATGGAAAGCATCAACAGTTTACAGATAGAGTTGTGGCCTTTAGTTGCTGACTTTTGACCCTTAACAGTGACAACATTAGAATGGATTTTCAAGAGTTTACACAATACTCACCTCTTGCAGATTGGCTAAAATATGCATCTGCGTAATAGGAGCCAGGGATGTCAGTAGCAATGCAATGCATCATTCCTTCTTCACAGTAACTGAAAGAGATAATGAAATAGCTAGTGCAGAAAATTGTTTTCTGTATCAGGGAAAGAAAGAAAAAAGGAAGGAAGGAAGAAAAGAAGGTAAAAAAAAAAGAAAGAAAGAGAGAAAAAAGAAAGAAAGAGAAAGAAAGAAAGAAACAAACAAACAAAGAAAGAAACAAAGAAAGAAAAGATAGTAGGAAAGAAGAAAAGTTTTAATGTTACTTCACTGCCACTGGGTGGTGCTGTTTTATCACTGTCTATGCATCACATAAAAATACCTTCTTAGGAATAATACTAATGGGCCCATTTATACCTTCAAACATTTTGAAATGAGGAAGAGGGACACCTTCCAGCACAATGTATTTGGGCAATGCACACACCCTTGCTATGCCCTTAGTTATGCCGACCATTAAGAATTCATATGCCAAAAGTGATTGGTTATACCCAGAATTGTTTTTTATTTTACCATTACTTTTCCTTTAAACTGGCTTTTCGAAATAGCAAACAAAATAATTAAGAGATAAGATAAAGGTAGTCAAATAGAACCTTTTCATAGATATTTGTAAATCACACCAAAAAGAGGGACAACTGAGGAGGAAAGAGGGACAGAGGGATTTAGTTCCAAATGAGGGACATTTGGAAAGTATTACATACCACATGGAATGGTGATTTGAGAATACGTCATCAGGCTGGAATAACTCTCCATCATAGTAGCACTGACACTCTGATTTGGGTACACATTCTCCAAACTCGTTGGTATAGAGACCGACGGGGCAGTAACATCCTTCCATACAGAACTCTCTGCAGTTGGTGTCGGGGTGGGACAGTGACCGACAAGTGTTATTGCAGGGGCTTCCACACTCCTGGTAGATCTTTCCCTGAGGACACATGATTGCTGTAGAAAAAAGGAACAGCATTTTCATCCACTAAAATCACTAAAACACAAGAGCATCCTTTGTCTGATACCTCTAGCAATCGATAAGTTCAAAACTGATAGGGCAGAATCTAACAAAATCTAAAGATTGGTTGCTAAGAGGCCACAGAGAACTCCTTTTAAAACATCAGTCCCAAATGATGAAGCTGCAATAGCATGTGAGACACCTAAAGGCATGCTTAAATTATATTGCAGCTTGTTGGATCAGCACCATCGTAAAAGTGCAAAGTACAGTGACTCATAGCAGCCAATTAGAAATCATCAGTTACATTCCATTCAACATTTGCAAACTCAAGATTGAAACAATTGTAAGTTTTAACTATCATTCCGGTCTAAGACAACCAATATTTTGAATCATTTGCCATTTGGCTAAGGCATGTTGCTTCAGGGAATGAGAATTAGGACAGCCTAATTGAAATGGGAACAGCAGTTTTGGTTGTTGCAGAGGACCTACATTCATGGGGCTCTCCAAACAAGGGCCTTTTCTTTAAATAACTCAGAGTACTGCTTCTAAGACTGACCATTGAAAGTGACAGAATGTGAGATCCTCGTTGGCATTGTCAGAGCTCCAGGACTGGCTAGGACACTTAAGCAGCAACGCTTTATTTCCTTGTTGTTCTCTCTCCACAGAAATCACAATGATTGGTATCTAGTTACGCTCAGAAGCACTCGTAATTATCCTGTAGTTAACCCTTACATGGGGTAATAATTGCCTAGTCATCTCGGCACAGTAGAATCCTTTCCATTACGGGACAATGTATGGAGATCCTTATAAAGTGTATCTCTAGCCAAATATTTTTGGATAAAGTAGGTAATGGTTAAAACAGGTTTTTATTGCCATTGTTTCTCCCTTTCTGGAGATTTTTGCTCACTTCCTGTCCACGTGAGAGCTTAGTCACCAGGACAGGAAGTGATGAGAAATCTGTTTAGCAGAGTCACAATGACAAAAAAGAGCACTTATTAGCATAGGCGTCACTACAGGGAGGCAAGGGGGGCAATTGCCCCCCCTGTTTTATGCTTTGCCCCCCCCCGTGTGCCCCCCCCCCGCTGAATTAAGCAGCAGTGCAGTGGCTCCAGACTTATGTGCCCCCCCTACATATTGTTCCTAGAGTCGCCACTGCTTATTAGCAATTTGAAAGAAAACTAGACCCAAAGAAAGAAAATGAAAATTAATTACTGCATTTAAAGGGATGCAGTCCTCATATTTACTCTGTCATAGCAAGGTTTAAATGGTCAGCATGATTGAACTTTCAGTTAAATCAGATAAATACATTCCAAATCCATCAAAATATATTGAAGGGACTTTATCAAAACTGGAGCAGACAAAAACTTGAGCAGCTGTGCATTGCAACCAGCTTCTCTTTTTCATTTGAAAAATCTTAACTGAACAAACTGAAGAGAGAAGCTGATTGGTGGTCATGCAAAGCTGCTCCAGTTTTGATAAATTCCCCTTATTGTGTGTATGTTCATGTTCTTTAGAAAGCAGTCACAGTCACAGCAGACAAACCTGTCACTTGCCAGAATGCTGCAGAGAAGGACAATTGCTCTCTCTGCAGAGGTCAAACACACCTCCTGTGAGTTAGAGCTAGGGCTCCCCATCAGCAATTCATGCTGGGCAGGTTCACTTTAATCTGACCTTGTGGGGAAATTGCTTATAGTGCTTCACTTATTACCTTATTTGGCAGAGTTCCGCATATTTTTCTGGAAGATAAAGCATGCAGAACATGTCTGTATGACAAGGGCCAAAATTCTTAGAACTCAAAGGGACCATAAAAAACAGACTGACCCAAAGGCCTTTTTTTATGTCACTAGATTGTTACTTTCCCTTCCGACCCCAAAATGTCCAGAATCTTCCCACGGCTGAAACTGCCTCCGCCTTATCCCTTGGTGGTATTCTGTTGCATGCAACATTTTTTGTTTTTGTTTTTTAATTTGGTGAATGCTTATATGCATAGAAGTAACAAAAAAAAATCACAAACTAACATTTACAGGGAAACTTACGGCAAAATTCAGGTGTTCTCCATTCAATGAGTACACCTTTTCTGGAACAGGCAGAGGCATAGCTTGAAAAAGCAGAGCAGAGGCATTCCTTCCCATTGGAGCAGGCACAGACATCGTATCGGCAATTCTTCAGGTATGGGAGGGGATCAACCTCGTTGTGACATGGCTGGAAAATGGAGTCCATGAGAGCAGAGCAAACATCTTCTGCAAATCTGGCTGTATAAGGCATAGGAGAAATAATTTTTGTCATTATAGCAAAATTATTAAAAATACTAATGATCATTTCCGGACATTTTACAGTTTGTGAAGTTTTTATTTACAAGATAAATCTATAGAAGCTGGGAAAACATTTTCCTATGTCAACCTTATTACAAGCGATGAACCAACCAATTCACATGGATTATGGTCCAGTTTGGATCAGGCCAGTTTACAGAAAGTAAAATTGACCAGGCCGAGTTTTAAAATGTTTGAGTTTTTGTTTTTTACAAACTATAAAAAATTGAACCTGCTCCTGGGACACCAAAGGTTTGGAGACCACAATGCTTTCTTAGTGCCCTTCCTCTTGGTGCCCTTTCTCTCACCCTTTCCCTTCCTCTATAACTTGATACTCAGTAGTATATGAATTGTTCCCCTACATAAAACATGAATTTATCTCTGATCATTATGACTGAAAATTAGGTCTCTGAATTCCATTTGAGAACCATTTCACAACATAAACTAGATTTTTTTTAACCCTTCCTGACTATTACCTCTTTTGGGGTTCAAAATGCATGGGTCTGTGTCTTGTTTCACCAGATCTACACAGTCACCGCTGAGCTTCCAAGAATTTCCAAAGTCCTCTACGCTGGCCTCAACAAGCCCCGACGGTGAAAGAAAGTCATCACCCTGATTTCCATCATAGTTTCCACAAAGACCACTGGTGGATCCTGAGTAGGCCGGAGACAACTGAGCATAGGGACAACAATAAAAACAAAAATTAAATTTCGGGCAGTAACTTCTTGACCGAATTGTGATAGTGCATATAGAGCTATAGGGTATATAAAGGGGATGCCCACATAGGGGATAATTACTAATTTCAGGATAGTAGGCAGAGCCAGGCAAATCATCCTTTTGACTGCATTGGCTAACTGTATATCAAAAACCATTGGAATATAGCACAGATACAGTCTAATATTAGAGTTCTATGCATTGGTTTAGTGCAGGGACATTTTGCTTCCTTTAGTACTTCCTTACTATAACCTTCTTGGGTTACACGATAATATTAAATAAAGCAATACCAGAAGAAAAAAAGAATATGATTGATTGTTAGGTACTACAATAAAACCTTTAATTTTTCAACACCGTGATAAATGTGTACATATGTTTTCAGTAAATGTCATCAGTGAATGAGAAAAGTTGAAAGAATGTGATTCACCTTGAGCAGAAGTTTCCCATGGCCATCCCAATCAATTTGGAGGTCATTGCGATACGAGAGTTGTACTGATGTCAGTGCTGTAGTCTGGATGCGGAGGGAACCTGTTGAAAGTCCAGTGAGATTAGCCTGTGCTTATCTTTAACATATAACTGACTATTGGGGGTGTCCGATCTTTGCAGAAAGAGAACTGCTAATGTACAGAACAATAAATCTATTTCCAGATATGCAAGCTACTGGCACTGGCTCTAACAGGTATGAAGACCATTATAGTAGTAAATGTGCGTATTTATCACACAATGGATGTACACACCACTTTAAATCGGCCAAATACATTTCATAGTTAGCTAGGCTGACAAAAGACTCAAGTCCATTGAGTTCAACCTATAGTGATTTCAGGTGCATCAAAGCAAAAAGCGTCCAAAACAGGTACAACCTGAGTAGCAAAGTCTGTCCCCTGTCAGAATGCTGTAGAGAAAGGTCCCCTTTTTATGTGGAAGCAGTGGTCTCCAATTAGCAGAGATAGCATGACCTTTGCTGATTGGAGCGCCATAGGTCTGCTAATTCAGGCGGTGTGGTGGACCTCTGCAAAGAGACCACTGTTTCCACACAGAGAGCAAGGGTCCTTCTCTACAGAATTGCTGTCAGTGGACCAGATTTCTACTCCGGCTGTGGCTGCTTTATGAAAGAAATGAACTAGAAGACTTTGCACACCTTTGTTTTGATGGGATTTAATATTATCATACAATAAGTAGTTTTCTTGGACAACAAAACTAAATACCTACTTCAATCTACAGAAAATATTGTGAGACGTGCAGGTACCTTGCAGCAGCGGGAGCATAATATCTTGTCCCTCTACAGACACTCCTCCTCCATGTTTGAACTTTATTGTTATATTTTGCATGTCCAGGAGACGGACAGAAGCGGATCTGGTGCACACGGCGTCTGGGTCATCTGCACACTAGAAATAAAACTTTATGTAGTCATTCTATTTAATCATAATAATTACAACAATACTGCAAAAGATGATTTATTTTTAACGCCTTTCCCCAAAACAAAAATAAAACCACACATATTTTGTATAAATTACAAATAACCCGCACTTCTGATTATTTAAAATGCACATCACTTGTAAATATTATTTGGCCTGTAGGTGGCACTGTTGCTGCCTATTTAAAGTGTGTCACAAATATAAATACATTCAGTTTGTGTGGTTTTAGCCAAAGCCACAAAAGAATTACAAAAGTAGCATCAAACTGTCACATAACGGCAATGTGTCTTTGTCTGATAATTGCAACCATTTGTGATAATGTGTTATTTATTAATTAATACCAAGGTGCTATAGTAATAAGGTACTTGCATATAGTGTTAACGGGTACCTGACGAACACATACATACACTTGAAGGAAAAAATTAAATATGCTGTCCTCCACCATTAGTAACTGAACCCCAAAGTGGCTTACGCTTAATAGCATACCAATTATCTAGCGACTGGTGGAATCACTGAGGCAAGATACTGAGTGCAAACTGTTTACTATGTCCTATTGGCCGCGTCCCACTAAATTACTGTTTCCAGTATGATGAATGACAGGTGCTCTTTAATGAAGGAGTTTATCAGTGTTGATGCTGACAGTGTCCAGACATAAATCAGAGCCGGGTCTGTTTATACTTCAATTTGAAGCTTGGGTACCATATCTAATGCATCATTTGTCTGTACCAGGAACTGTTATTATTTACTTATTATGTATAATTGCATGTTAAAGCTTGCTTGTCAGTCAATGCTTAGTCTAAAATCCCAGGGTATATTAAAGAGTATCTAAAGCCAAAACCTTTCTTATTTTCTTTGGAGAGAATGGGGAAATGAATAAAACCCCCTTTGCTCTCTGTGTCCCTACTGGGAGTGTCCCTACTGGGGAGATTCACCTTCTCTATCTGAGATTTGTCAACAGCACAGAGATGGTAAAAACAAAACTTAACAGTTGTCACCAAAGTCAGAATATAGAGAATTATTTCCAGTAGAGATATGTCTTTCCTCTTTTTCTAGTGGAGATACCCAAAATTTGCAAGACGATAATCAAAATGATCAGATTTAAATCTTATGTTTGTGATAAGTATTCAATACAGTCCAACTTGAAAGCTTATAATACTTCTAATTAGGCCCTACTGTAAACAGTGTGGCAGAGAGGTTTAAAGCAATACACATTCTGGTCTGTGTCTTCATTTTAATTAACAGGTTCATATTCAATATGCCTGGCTGTAATGAAGTTACATTCATTAAATGTTGTTACACTAATGTGGGGTCGGCAGTCAGTCACATATATTGGGTAGATTGAAGCCATGTGATGGGTAGATTGCAAACCTGCCATTTTCCCTGCTCATGACCCTGATAACCTAATCTGCCCAGCCCGCAGAGTTCTGGATATCGTATACAGCAACCTGACTGTTGTTTACCCTAGCCAGGGTGTCCAAACCACTGGTATGCCTCATGGTTTGGTGGCTCTCAGCCTGGGGATCCCATTGTCTGGAGGCTCTCACACAGAGGATCTCATTGACTGGCAGGTTTTCTTGGTGAAAATGACTTGGGGAGTAGGTGGGTCTTTTGGGATGATGAGGAGTGTCTGGGACCTTTGTGTCCCTGAGGGCCAAAACAACTGCTCCCAGACAGAGACAGACACCAGGGAGGACATCCTACCACCTGTAGTGCCCCCATGTTACTTACTCCTTGCTTGCTTCTTACCCCTGCACTCTGTGTTTTTTCTGCTACTGACCTCTACACTCTGCTTCACCTACTCCTGACTACTGCACTGTGCCTTACATACCATTGACCTCTGAACTTCGCATTACTTACTTCTGATCCCTATTTGTATCTGCTGCCAAGGGAGCATAGGCATATCAAGTCATGTGTGCTCTGCTGGACCCCATTTTTCAGTCACATATCCATAGTAGGAGTGCACAGTCACAGAAAAGGAAGTCCATCAGGATCACTGACTGACAGGATGGAGAACTGACTTCCCGGCCGTCCCAATAATGAGAAAGCCTGAGGCAGAGTTCTCAGACGGCATCTTACTGGGTCATGTGGGGGGGGTGTCCCTTTCTGGCCAGAGCATTCAGGGTTGCTAAGCAGCTTTTAGCAACCTGGGACACTCTGAATGATGTCCTGCCTAGCTCACTGACGTCACTGGTTGCCAGGATCTGAGTGGGACAGCTCCTGGCAATGCTCCTGACAACTGTGAGCTGGGTGAAAGGCCAAGACAGAGGTAACGTTGACCTACCCCCATAATGTGCGCCACCAGCACACAACCTAAAACACCAGCCATGTCCTGACCTTCTCTCCCTGTTGTGACCATATTAAAGCACTTTGTAGCCCTTTTCAGGAAGAGAACTGACTTTTTTTGCACTTGGGCTTGGTTGGCTGAGCACTTATCACAGGTAATATTCTGTCTTACCTGCATGGTCTCTATAGCAACAGAAAAAGTGTTGTCCGTGGTGTCTTTGGCAAGTAGGAAATGGCAGATCCCGCTGAAGGTAAAATATTTGTTGTCAAAACTTTTGAAGTGAGACTGTCCTGTGACAAAACATTCTCCTAACAAAGAAATAAATAGTTTTGTTTAATTTTAACAATGTATAAAACATGATTTCATAGCATACAGTACAATGAGATAGATATAAATTTAGAAGTTTGTTGTGAGGCTTCATCCTTTGTGGGAGTCAGTAACACAAGAAAAAAAAGGCGTGCCAAAGAGCTTTACTTGCAACAGCCAATAAGATCATGGTTACCCTATTCTAGTGTGGCTTAGAAAATGCAAGCAATAACCCTATGGTCCCATTTGCCAGAACTGTGTTTCTGTGCACTTAAATTAACATATTTTTTACTGAAAATATAGGTATGCTAAACAATTGCGCTAATATCAAGCAACCTAAAAAAATTGCAACTCCCACCATTTTATTCTACATAGTCACTGCTTTCAGGAAATATATAATTCTGGGGGGGTTTTAGGTAATCTTCAGGCCCAAAATGTGAATTTTAACGTGTCCAAAAAACGTAAAAATGGCTCTGGCAGTGAAAGGGTTAGAACCCATTTGAAGTCTTACACTTGTTTTTATCTTTATAGCCCTGCATCATTGTATGGTATGATTTTTAACTGATTTTTACTTGGAAACCCCTTAAAATACAATTTTCTCTTCATAAAAAATTGCTTCCTGGGCTGCCACTCCAGAGCTCACTGCTGCCATAGATGAGCAACATTTACACCCCTCAACACAAGCGTTCTCATGTAGACTTGTAGTGCAGAGGAAGGTGTGTCTGACCAGGTCTGTTAGAGTACACCAGTCAAATTCTGTTTCCTATTGCATTGCGCAGTCATGTTTAGACAACCGGCGCAACTGGAGGAGAAACAAGATTACAAAAGTTAAAATTGTCCAAATGCTTATCTATTTGACCTCAGCAGACCCTAATATTTAAAGTTCCCGCTCAAAAGGCCCACAGACACTTTTTTGTTTTCACAGAAGATTTACACATTTTGCAAACTGTATTCAATTGGAAAAATATGTGAATTTTGGATGAAAGTTGTGTGAATCTTAAATTCAGGAATTAAAGGAGAACTATGGGGTTCTATCTTTTCTTGATTAATGCATTCCTTAGGCTAAATAAGTAAATTATGTAATTTACTCTAATTAACCAAAATGCACAGTAAGGCTGTAAACCCTTATTTAAGGTGGTGGGCGGGGCTAAGCGCCGCAATGAGGAGACATCCCGACGTGTCTGACGGGATCCTCCCCACTGATCTTCCTCACTGTGACTGACAGTGATTCTTGAGAGCTGCTGCGCGTCCACGAATATATGGACATGCGCAGCAGCTCTCTCCTTACCTGCACGTCCCCGTGGGCCAGCCGGGCTCCTTCCCCCTCTCTCTCTCTCTCTTCAGCATTTACTACAAATGGGAACGTCCATATATGGTAAATGGTGTCACTGGGGATCCCTGCTGATCGGATGCTTGCCAGTCTGCAGGGATCCCCAGTGACACCATTTACCATATATGGACGTTCCCATTTGTAGTAAATGCTGAAGAGAGAGAGAGAGAGGGCTCCTTCCCCTCTCTCATCAGCGATCCCCAGTGAGTTGAGGATGTCAGCGTCACACAGGGCAGGGAGAGAGAGAGAGGGCTCCTTCCCCTCTCTCATCAGCGATCCCCAGTGAATTGAGGATGTCAGCGTCACACAAGGCAGGGAGAGAGAGAGGGGAAGGAGCCTTCTCTCTCTCTTCATCATTTACCACATATGGGCAAGTCCATATATGATGAATGATGTCACTGGGGATCCCTGCTGATCGGATGCTTGCCAGTCTGCAGGGATACCCAGTGACATCATTCACCATATATGGACTTGCCCATTTCTGGTAAATGATGGAGAGAGGGATGGCTCTTTATCCTCTCTCTCTCCCCCTGTGTTATGCTGACATCCTAATTACTGGGGATCGCTGATGAGAGAGGGGAAAGAGCACTGAATGTGCAGGGAGGCTGAGTCCGTCTCTTGCTGCTGCCTTCTCACTTCAGACTCCGCCTCCCGCTCACAAATGCCAGCGTGCACGAGCTGACAAAACACAGCTGTGCATGATGAGAGGAAGCGCGGCCACAGCAATGAGATCATTTGAAAAAAAAGCCGTGGGCGGGCTGGATCAAATGTTAACGCCTCCTAAGAGGAAAGAAGCTTGGAGCAGGGTTGAAGACGCCATTTACTACAGGTTTTGAGGGTTTTATCTGTGATGTGCTGCGACTTTATAAAAAAGGAACGATGCTACTACAATCAAGGTAAGGGCTATTTTTATTTGCCCTTAAGTCATAGTTCTCCTTTAAGCCTTATAAAAAAAAAAAAAATCACGTACCCTATTAACAATAATGTACCTTATTTGTGTATCACTGGGCTGTAGATCCTCAAATCTACTTTTCTGCAAGCTTGCTCCTGTGATAGACTATTGGCTAAGTAAACATGAGATTGTAGTCCATCACAGGAGCAAGCTTGGAGCAGTCACTACTTTACAACACACACACAGGGACCATGAGGAACAAAAGTAGCCACCCTCCAGGAAGAAGGACAGTGTTAGCACCAATTCGGAGATGATTTGAGGATCTACAGCCAAGTAAGACACAAATAAGATAAATTTTTGTTAGTAGGCTGCTTGAATGCATTTTTAAGATTTACCTCCTGAGTTTAGTGTCACATTAAGTGAAAATATTTATAAATTGACTCCTTGGATACTACTTTCCTTCTGGCATTTACTGAAGTTGACAAATTGTAAGTCTCAACCTAGTTGGACCTTTCCGCTATAACGTTCTCATACACTGTCATTAAAGCTACATGGTTATGAGTAACAATACCAGATTTCACCTGCAGGTGGCACTAATGGTGCAATAAAAAACTGATGCTGGTCATGGATGGGGATATTCTTCATTGAGGGAGGGCAAACTAGATATGAGCCTTTCTTAGAATGACCAAACTAAAATGAAAACCTTAATACAGTGGTTCTCAACCTGTGGGTCACGACCCAAAAGTGGGTCGCAACCCACAGTTGAGGGGGTCCCCACGTGCCTTGTGCTGCTCTAGGTAAGAGGCTCCTCAGCCTCCTCCTAGTGTAAAAGTGTCAGTTCTCCTAGATGGCGCTGCAGCAGCAGCGGCCGGAGAGGATCAGAGAGAGGGAAGCAGGCAGGAGTGAGGGGAGGGGAGTGCTTTATCACCACAGAGCCCGCACTGGGCACCAGAGAGTACGCACCGGGCACCACCCGCATGGGCTCTTGAGAGCCCACACAGATACTAGTATTAATGAATCCCTACATTTTACGGTTGGGGTCACCACAACTTGGCAAATGTTACCAAGGGGTCCCGGCCCTAGAAAGGTTGAGAACCACTGCCTTAATACTATCTTTCTCAACCCTGACTTGTAAAAATGTGCTTTAGCAGTTTATTGGTAAAATGGTGAGCCCTGACTTTCATGTAATCGTGGTGTATGTGAGCAATGAGTTGAATGAAATTAAAAATAATTAAGGCAATTTAAGGTGTGTAATATTCAACAATACATCAAAGCTGAAACGAGCCGAGGGGGATCTGGCTCTGTCATTGGAAACTTTCACTGTACAGAAGTGGAAAATGTTATACCCAAAACATGTTTATCAAATTGTCTATTATATTACAGGGAAAAAAGCTTTGTAACTCTAGTTGCTTCTAACCACATCTAACAATGATAACAACTTGGAAAGGCTTAGACCCTCTGTCAACATTTTATTGCTGTCTGGGTGCGGGGAGATTCACCCGCTGTCCTTGTGACTATTGACAATGAAACAGAAAGTGAGGGCAAATCCAAAATTCAACAGTTGTCACTGGAACAAGAAGTCAGAGGAATTCTTTCAATGGGGAAACCTGTCCTGGTTACAACTTTGGGGACATTTACTCTAACTTTGGTCGTGTTTTCAGGACAGTCAAGAGACATATGCCCGCAGGGTCACAGACAACAAAAAATAACCTGAAAGGGTTTCTAACCCTTCCCTACTTTACCCAACATAAAAAAATGCATTTCATTTACAGGAGAGCCCTGGGGCCATGCTAAATAAAATATCAAACAAAATTATGACTTCTAAAGTCAGAATTATGTTTTTAAAAGTCAGAATTCTGAGTTTGAAAGTCAAAATAATGAGGGGAATTTATCAAAACTGAAGCAGACAAAATCTGGAGCAGTCGCCCACGGCAACCAATCAGCTTCTCTCTTTAATTTTCAATTGTTAACTGACCAAACTGAAAAGAGAAGCTGATTGGTTGCCCTGGGCAAGTGCTGCAGATTTGGTCTGCTCCAGTTTTGATGAATTCCCCTCTCTGTGTTTAAAAGTCAGAATTCTGTGTTTAAAAAAACAGCATTCTGTGTTTAAAATTCAGAGTTTTTGACATTTAAACACAAAATTCTGACTTTAAAAGTCAGAATTTTGTTTCATATTTTTTTGAGCATGCCCCCAGGGCTCGTCTGTAATTTTAAAACAGAATATTCAGATTGTTGCTTTAACTGACCTGGACAATCTTCATCGCTGCAATCCCAAAGCCCATGTCTGCAGAAACTAAATACAAATATGCAAATTAAATGGTTATTAGAAGATCACAAAATCAGGCATTTTCTATATCAGAACATACAACCATAATAGAGAGGAAGACAAACATTACTGGTACGACATGGCTAGATGAAATTCAAATGCCATTTAAACTAACGGGAAGCTGTAACAAATAAACATTTAATACATATACAAATAATTCTCAGAGCATTATAATAGCACTGGGAGTGAGCAGGGTAAAAATAAGCTCCTTTCAAGCATTCAAGAAGCCCTATGGAGGGTGGGAGAAAGTGGAGGAGGTGCTGCACTGACGTGTTCCAATTGTGTATGCATATTTCAGCTTAAGCTATTGAGCTCTGTTAACAACAGAGCTTTTTACAACAGAAGCACAAAAGGTCCACATTTCTGGGTATGCGGAATACCTGCCTTTCTGCCACACAGTCGAGCAGGTATTCTACACACCTGATGGGTCGAATGCATGCAATGACTAGGGAGCAGCAAACGGACAGCTTTTCAAAACACAGGCAACCGCAATGGTCAGTTTACTAACTCTTCTTTTACAGCCTGCTTTGTGTTAAATAATGAAGAATCAGGTCTCCTACCTTGCCAGACAGGGTTGTGCTGTGTAGCAAAGCCATGTAAGTTTTAGGCCTGGATGGACATGAATGAAAAAACTTTTGGCAGCTAAATCACCTGCCTTATATGTATTTCTCATGGGTAGTTAGCTGTTTACCTGGAGTTCAGCTTTAACGTAGGTTTAGCTATATTATGACAAACAATGTGGGTATGAAATTAACATTTATTAACACCAATAGCAGCTTAATATGTTTGCAAAGCTGAAGGCAAGTGGTTTGTTTTATAGAAATGTACCAGAAACCACTACCAACAGACTTGTTAAAAGGATAAAGTGTTGCACAACAAATTATAAAATTAAAACATTTTCTCCAACAGGTCTCATAAGGTAATTGCACAACTTGAGAGAAGCATTTGTTAAAGGAGAACTCCAGGCAAATCAAATGTTAACCATTGCAGTGGGGCTACTTCCGTACTGCAAGGGTTAAGTGCTTGTTTTGTCTCGGGAGCTAAAATAACAAAGTTATACTCACCCGGCTTGCTCCTACACAGCTTCCTCCAACCTGTCTCCTCCTCCACTCCTGCGATGGTATGTCAGTTGGCATCCTCATGTTCTCTATGCTGTATAGAACCTGATGACTCACAGGACCTTAGACTGCTGGAGAGGAGGGGAAGTGAGTTTGAAGAGGGCAAGCCGGGATCGTGGTTCGGCTGAGTATAACTTTTTTCATTTTAGCATCCCAGACAAACCAAGCACTTAACCCTTGTTGTGCAAAGGTAAACCCACTGCAAAGGGTTAAGATTTGAATTGGCCAAAGTTCTCCTTTAATAACAATAAGGATGGCAAACAAGTAAAGATATGGGTATGCGCAGGAGTTCATAGGTGTATTTTAGTAGCTCAGTCACATTCGCTAGCACTTTCCTCTGTAACACTCCTCCCCACAAGCCCCCCCCCCTTTTATTTTTTGATTAAAAAAACTCAAGAGGGTGTGCCCATGACACCCTAGGCACACAAGAATTGGGTTAATGATGCTGGGCGCCAATCAACCTGGAGACGACCAGCGGCGGAGGAGGACATGGAGGACACTTTATTAAAGTTTCTTTGATAAAGGAAAAAAGAGAACATTAGCAAAAGACAGAATGTAAAATCTGAAGCTCACCAAGTATTACAGTCCCGGGTAATTTTGGCCCCTGTAGGATATCGCTTTCCAGCATGAACGCAGGAACATTCAGAGGGATCAATACATCGAGCGCCATCAAGGACTTTCCCTTCTGTGTATGAAAATAAAGAACGGTAAAGGACCACTGAACCTCAAGCAGAAAGAGATACAACAAAGAGATAAAAATAACAACACTTTGATGTGTATCTGTATCTTAGAGATATTAAAATAGGAAGCAAGAGGACCCTTGCCAACAGGGGGACACACACAGTAATGAAAACCTGGTAGAGCTCCTAACCCTTCCTAACTAAGCCAAAGAAAAGTGCTCTCTATGTCCCTACTTCCTGTGTTCACCACTGCCACCCACTTTGTTTCCTGGTGACCAGCCAGGGACTAAAGAAAATCTTCATAATGGGGTCACAGACATCAGTAAAAACCTGACAGCTTTTCTAGCCCTTCCCCACTCTGTAATGCTAACTAAAAAGGTTTGACTGGAGTTAAGCTATATTTATATACAGTAATGGTAGGTTACACATAGATGTTATTTTAACATCTTTTGCATACCATGGCTTGTAGTTTATGGTTATAGGCCCTTTAAACTTGCATGTTTGATCCATTCATTGGTTGAAATCATAGTTAGGATTCTGTTTGAATACAATAGCTCACCTGGGCAGTTGCAACCATCAATACAGCTCTCCTGGCACACCTCATTGATTTTCAGACTCTGACAGGTCTGAACACATGGGGACACACATTCATTGTACTCCATCCCATGTGGGCACTCTGGCTCTGTAAAAGAAGTAGAAAATTAGCACAATTAGAATAACAAAGATTAAAGGAAGCTGGGGCACCCAGTAAAGTGGTTTTCCATAGTGCCCTGATTTCTTGAGGACTGCATTGTGAAATCTAGAGAAAAGAAAGCTGGAATGAAAGTGGAGCTATGGCCTGTAGATACAAAATAGCCTGCCCTATACAAAAATAACATTTAAATGGTTGCTGGTGCAACAGTTATCATTGTTCTCTACTTTGTGCCGCAATCCTCCTTTCTGGGCAGTGTAGAATGACCAAATGAATGTGGCATTTAACTCATAGGACGGAAACCTTAGCTTTCTGTGAGGTAGAAAAAAGATGTGCTCCAGTCACTATAGTCTTTTTTTTCCATTTTTATTTGCTCAGTAAACCTCTGGAGAGAAGGTTATGGACATAAGATAAAAACAATAGCTTGGATTTTCTAATGGCAGTTAATGTAGTTGTTGGTTTTTTAAGAACAGCCAAACAGATTGCAATGACTCAATGAGAGCTAATACAATTGAGACCAATCACCAATGACAGCAGTCAGTCTATTGTTGAAGATCAATGGATCTTCCTTTTACTCTAAGTAAATTCTAGGCCCTTAACCCTATGTGAGTAGCCACAGGCAACTTGAGATTTATGCAATGAGATCTTCTTGCAATGTCCACCGGCAGCTTCTCCCAAGCTATCTCAGGACACTCACTTGCACAGAAGAATTCTCCAGAGTTGATCCATACATACAGTATAGGCAGGCCACTGCACCGAGCAGTACATTCATTCTGTTGAGCAGGAAGTGAGGTGGCAATTTTGTAGATCACTCACTTCACTCCTGATTAGCTGCCAGAAGCAAAACAAGGCGATCATATCACTGTTTATTCCTGAATCTAGGGGACAGACTTGTTCTCTGGACTGGGCTTTGGGCAGCCATCTTGGGAGAGCCTGTGTCTGATTTGACACAGAGCTCTTGTAGGATTTGGGCAGCCATCTTTGACACGCAGGAGTTATATATAGCCCCTGCTGTGTCAATTTGGCACTCCCTCAGTGTTGGAAATTCAACAACACAGGGATTGGTTGGGAAAAGAATAGTCTTAGCCTTATGGAAAGGTTCCACGGGTGAAGGGATAGTTCAGGGACGAACCAGTACCCCCCTTTTACCTGGCATTTGAAGAAAGGTCATTTGTAGACTATCAAGCTTTCTGAACTGGCACACTCCCGCACACCATTCTGCTAGCACAAAACCCCTTTAAGAAGGTCGTGTTTGGAGGTCTCATGGGTACCTGATTACGGAAGCAAGCTTTGGGCACTCTACTTTATGTAATCCCTGCATCATTGAATTGCATTACTGAACTTTCATTTCTCCAAAATTGTGATGAAAATAAAGAGATTCCAGAAAAATGTTGCACCTTTGCTACCTTTCAGCTAGCCATGTGCCAAAAAACACCCTTTCATCTGCCCCATAATGACCTTAATCATGCTTCTCATGCTGCTCAAAATGCCCCTCATCATTTTGAAGTGCTGAGACAAAAAGCAGAGACAGCAAGTCACCAATTTATGGTGGCCCAGCACACAGAAAGTTTATTTGCTTTGGGAGAGAAGGGTTAGCAATGCCGTTCATAATTTTGAACACATTATTTTTACACTTTTGTTTAGGAGGGTTTTAACTTACTGCAAGTCGTGTCCTTTGGCCAGCCATGGATAATTACGCCATGCTGGGCACAAGATCGTGTATATTCCAAGAACGTTTGGCACGGGCAGTGAACATCCTCAGCACATTCACACATATCCTTCTCACAGATGGCAATGAAGGGATCTGGGTCAACAACCTGATGGCATTTTGCGAACACTGCAGATGATTTTAACAGTTGACATCTCTGCATGAGGTCCTGCAAACAGATAATTATTTTAGCTTTGATGTCTCTTCGGTTGGCTTTGCTTTCCCTTTTGATTGTTGTACCACTTTTCTCTAAATATTATCTCTTCACTGAAGCTGACCATATACTGGTAGATTTTTATATGAATATTCATTAAAAAAAACAGGTAAGAACATTTGATAATGTCATCAAAGACTGGTAGAATATCCATCAAAATGTTGTGTGATTAACATTTGATTGGAAGGAATGGTGTTTCCTGAACGAAGACCACATGCACTGTTACAATTTATTTTGCTTTTGAAACAATTTTCCATCCTGCTCTTTCAATGTTTTTTTTGTCACTACAGTTGAAAACAATCATCGATTGATTCTGTTAACTATTAGAAAACTGAACAAACATTCCAAAAGCATATTTTTTTCAAACAAAATTCTACTGGTGTATGGCCAGCTTGAGGTATGAACACAAACATTTCCCTGCACACTCACCAGCCAGCATGCAAAGAAACAAAAAAGTTACCCTGTCTAACAATTTGCATTAAACACAGAGGTTTTTTTTGCACAACTTTTGCACAATATGTGGAAGTCACACGGCCTCATCAAGGCTCCTCTATGTAGTGTGGCCCTAACTGTAACCTATGAGAGCCTCCATCTTGAGGCATATATAGCAGTAGATAAATTGAGTGGACGTATTTCTGGAGGTAGCCCATTCCTCATTAAAGGCAGAAGGACACACTAGAAGCCCTGAACATCCACAATGGCAGCTGAAGCCCCCAGTGCATCTCCACACCAAATCCAGCAAAAGAAAAATGACATGGGCACATCTGTAGAGCTGAACTCCAAGCTAAATACACAATTTAAATTCATATATGCAAAATGTTTTACCTGTTTGTATTTCTGTCCACTAAATCCAAAGTTTCGCCCAGCTCTGTCAGGCTGCATAGCCTGTATGAGTTGTCTGAGTCTAAAGGGCTTCTCTATGTAGAATTAAAAGATACTGGAATCAAATCAAATTTAGACATGAATGTCTAAATGCCTTTTTCATATGTAGCTCCAGCCACGTCAGGTGACTAAACCATAGCAATTAGCCACCAACACACACCACCAGAGATAATAGTGATAATGGCCACTTGAAGACCGGGGTGTTAAACCCCCCTCCTGTCCAGGCCATTTTTCATTATTCAGCACTATCGTACTTTGACTGACATTTATCCAGTTATGCAATGCCGTACCAAAATGAATTTTATATCATTTTTTGGGGACACGTATATTTATTTTGGTGGTAATTAATCACCACAGGAATATTTTTTTACTATATAAAGAAAAACTTACCAAAAATGTTGGAAAAAAAACAGTTTTCCCTATGTTATGTTATTAAACATTTATTACTTTCCACTTTTTTGGTAAAATATAAAAGATGGGGCCACGTCGGGTAAATAGACACTAAACATGTTAAGCCGTAAATTGCGCGTGCCAGCGAAATCCCAAAAAACTACCATACCCAAAATTGGCCATGGGCAACATTTGGAAAGCTTTTACTGCTCATGAATTTAGTGTTAACAGTGACTGATGGCCCGAGAAATTATTGTTCGCACTCTGACGTTAACGTTGATATGTAACATGTGCAGCACAACCGTCATTTTTGCACGTAGATGCACTCGACGCATGTCGAGGTGGCATGCACAAGCAGGAGAAAGGACATTTTAAAACACCCACCCGCATTTAGGAAGCCACAGTCCAGCCTTTCAATTACAATGGCCGGACTGAAGGTGGTTAAAATGGCGCTTCCCACCATGCATTTTTTGCTTGGTTTTGATTGGTTTCTGAGTATTTTTTTTATCTCACTTAGGGTTAGGTAGGTAGTAGTCACAGAACAGGAAGTCAGAGGAAATCTCCCGAACGAGGACAAAAAAAAAAAAACTGGCAGAGATTCTTTAACCCTTCCCTGCTAAAACTAAAAAAGTATTTCAACTACTGTTGTCTGAGGTTCCAACAGAAGACCTGGATATGTATAACGCAGAAGTAAAATATATCCTTTCACAGCTTTTATATGTAAAAGAATGTTTTCTTTCCTAAGAGATTCCTGGACCTAAAAAGTCAGTAAATATTATGTTATATGTAGCTGATTACTCACTACATTGAAGCATTGCTTCTGACTCATCCTATTGAGCTACATTTCCTCATATTTACATGAAGCATGCCAGAATTTACCTAGCGGATGAACTTATTAAACAATAATGTTTGGCAACATTAGTAGAAATCGTCACGGAACAATCATTGTCATAATCTAGATGCTGTGTGATTTTGGCAAGGGACTGCTTCTGGTGCTGAGAGCTCTGCAATGCTTGAAGTTTAGAAGGAGTTAAGTATTGTTAAAGAGACACTTCCACCATGCCCATGCAGGGAAGAGTGAGAGTGTCTCTGGACAGGTGTTTGTAATATCCCCTTCACACACCATACCATTATGCCCCAGAATACAACGGGTGTTTGAACAACTGGTGGATGGCGCCATAGTATACAATCTAGATGATATGTTGTCCTCACACCATTCAGCTTTGGAATGTCCTCTTTATTTGTATTTCTTTTGCGTGACATGTGAACGCAACGTTTCGGAGCCTCACAGGACCCCTTCGTCAGGCTAAGTGTACGAAGGGGTCCCGTGAGGCTCCGAAACATTGCATTCACATGTCATGCTAAAGGAATATGAATAAAGATGACAATCCGAAGCAGAGTGGTGTGCGGACAACATATCTTCTGGACAAGGTCCCCCCTTCCCGGCTCCATGTCCTACCCTTACTGTGCTCCCTCGCCATTCCTTGCTCCTCTATAGCAGGTGAGAATACCCGGCACTTCCGGGAATGGAGGTGCATGTGACCTGCTCCATTGTAGAAGGGCCAGGGCCTAACAGTCAAATCCTAGGTCCAGTCACTTAACCCCTTCGTGACTGACGACGTACAGTGTACGTCGCCAGCATCGGGGCTGTTTAAACAGACTCCCGGTGACTTTTGCCGCCGGGACTCTGTTTAAACTTGTAGAACCGACTGTCGGCTTTACAACAGAAGCGATCCTGGCGACTTACCTGTCGCCAGATCGCTTCTGCGTCCCGAAGAAGGGGCCAACCCCCACCCCCCCCCCCGCCGTGCTTCCCGGGCTCCGTTGCCCCTCCTACGGGCCCGGGACCGGCGATCTTTGTGTCCGCGGGGAGCTGGGGAGGAGGTCGACGAACTTCCGTTCATCGATCCCCTCCCCGTTCTATGGGACCGGGAGCGATGCAGATTGCATCACTTCCGGTCCCTGGGCTGTCAGTTCTGGGCTCCTGGAGCCCAGCTATAAGCTATTGAAGTGCGATCTGCACTTCAATAGCTTATTTCCAGTGTAAAGGTGACACTGGGGGTCTTTTGGACCCCCAGCATCACCTTAAAGAGTACCTGTCACCACCATCTGCTATCACATGGGGGGGGCTTGTAAGCCCCCCATGTGATAGCAGTCAAAGTAAAGTAAAAAAAAAAAAAGTTTTTTAAATTAAATTTAAATAAAATAAATCTAATAATAATAACAAATTTTTGTTAAAAGTCCCCCGCCCCCGCGAGCACGCGCGTCGCCACGAAAACACGCGTCGGGTGCGCCTACGTATGAAAACGACGAACGTGCTACACATGTTGGGTATCGCCACGCACGCCGGAGTGAGAGCAATAATTCTAGGGCCAGTATTTTGGGGTATCTCTAAATTGATGACCTGTGGGGGCTTTTAAAGTGTCTTCTATGGACTTTTTGGGGTACTGGGGTTTTTTGGCGTTTTACGGATGCACGCAATTTGTAACCTATGCATCTTGGGTATCGTTTTACTCGTTGTAACCTCATCTTTTATATTTCATTTAAAAAATGGGTATTTTGTTGTGTTTTGGGGCATTTAATTAAATTTTTCACTAAATATTGGGGTTTAATAAGGAGTTGCGCTAATATTGCGCAACATAAAAATTTGCAACTACCACCATTTTATTCTATAGGGTCTTGGCATTCAGAAAATATATAATGTTGGGGGGTTTTAAGTAATTTTCAGGCCTAAAATGTGGAATATAACATGGGTACAAAAAATGAAAAAAAGGCCTCAGTCATGAAGGGGTTAACCAGGTTGTGACATCACTGCTCCTCCGGATTGCCAGCACAGCCGATCTCAGCACGGCCTGAGGTGAAGCACTTTTTTAGTAGGAGAGGTCAGCAATGGCTGACCACATTTCTCTCTCATGAAAAATTTCCTTTTATTTGAGTATTATTCAATTTACCTCTGCAACCCTGCAGAGATTCAGAGTGACATTCTTGTCAGTCTTTCTGTGGTTTTCAGTTTCCTTCCTTCATGTATAATATAATGTTAAGGCCACAAAAGAAAGAAAGAGGAAAGTGACCCCATGGGATTGTCACCCCTGTTACCCATGTGTTTTGAAAACTAATTATATTCAATTAGCCAATAAGTGTAAACTCTTACCTCTATAGTCACTCCTGTCACTGGGTGGGGACAGCAGTTACCTTAGGACTGGCAGCTGGACTCACCTCAGGATTGTCTTCCTTTTGGATCTTTTGACCTGCTTTCCACCACCCTCCCATTTGCTCTATTTTTCCCTTGTCACTGTCAATCTTTATGGGGTAATGTCGCCCACTTTGTGGATGGACAGTGGACGGTAAATGGTAATTTGGTTGGTGTATGTTACAGACATCCCAACTCTCTTGGACGTTCTGGGAGTCTCCCACTATATGATAGTGGCTCCCTGATGCCCGCGAAAGAGACATTTTATCCCAAAAATGTTTACTCTGCTCTATGTAGCAGAGTAAACCTTTCCGGGATCCCCTGCTATCTTTTTGTTGTATTCTGACGCCGGTTGCCCTCAGAATAAAAAAAACAACAACAGACAGCAGGGCAATGAATAGTTAGACTGCTATTGGCCATTTCAAATTGCAATAGCCAATGGCAGGCTGGCTATTGCACTCGCCTAGTGCTGCTGTCAATCCGCAGAGGTGGACCTGAAGTTCTCCTTCAGGTCCTTCTCTGCAGATTGACAACAAACAGCAGCTCTAAGAACAGATGATCAGTAACAAGTAAAAGCATCGATCTGCTTCATCAGGGGGGTCGCACACCCGCAGAAAATACTATCGATCAAAGCTTTTATAGCAGAAAAGAAATAGTCTCATCTGCATCTGCAATAGAAGCCTACCTGCTTGCAATTTTTGGTTAAAGACTTAAGTTCCAAATTAAAGCCAAGCCATGCAAAGAACCCTTTCGAAAAAATACCGACATACCACATGCACCAATGATGAATCTATAAGTCAGCTTATGAATGACATATTGTTCTGATATACAAGTTATAATAGACAAGCAGAGGCTATACTGGGAGGCTGAGGTCGAGACCATCGTTGGCGGATCCCACTTGCTCCAATCTGAAAATAGATTGCTAACGCCATGATAGAAATATTCCATTTACGTGGGTAAAAGGAGCAGCAAAACAAGTCCTATTGTGTAAAATATTTGGCACGTGGACACCCGCAGAAAGGCCGAGTGTTTGGAGGACTGCAATCTGCATTCCTGGAAGTGATGCTCATAAACAAAGACTTCTATTTAAATACAAAGAGCTGAAAGATTTATTCCACATTTTGACAAAACTTGATATTCTAGCCACAACAATCCCTCCACTGGTGGGCACTTATTTAAAGAGACCCTGTCAGTGTGTTTCTTTTCCATGATTTTGTATTCAGTTGCAACGTGAACTTGTTAGAAAATTTGACTTCTTCTGGAAGAGTCAATTCCAAGCACATGCCCTCTACATCTTGCAACAACCCTCTCCTTTTTAGGAAGTGTCCAATTACTGTCTGTCCTGGTCCAGCTCTTCCTCCCCTTCTCTCACCTCCCCACCTTAGCTTTTCTGTAGTTTTCGGTGGAGGCGTGAAGGGAAATACTATAGAGCAGTGTTTCTCAACCTTTTTTCAGTGGTGGCACCCTTTAAAATATGCCAAATCTTGAGGCACCCCAGTCTAAAATGTGAAAAATTGAAATGTAGAAAACACTGTGTGGTCCCTCTCTCTTGGATTTTAAGGGGAGTCCCAATGCATAAGCACACAGAAAAGTGGGTTTCCCCCTTCATATTACATACCCCCTTTCCCATCAGAGTCCTACCATCACTTGAGGAGATGCAGCTGAGGGTGGGAGGCAGAGCAGACCTGGATGGAGGTGAACTCCCAACCTTCTCTGTATGGCACCCACCCTCCCTGGATTAGCATCATTCGTTTCCATGGTGCTGGCAGCCAGAAAGACATGATGCTGTGTCAACATTTTGTGGCACCCCTAAGGAAGCCACAAGGCACCCCAGGATGCCTCGGTACCCTGGTTTAGAAAGGCTGCTATAGAGTGTCACCTCAGTATACTGGCCATGCGTTGCTAGAATTTTAATCCACGTCCTGCTGACTTGAACAAAATTTTAGCAGTTTTTGGCCCCGCTGGTGTACTTCCGTTTGACAAAAGACAATTTTTCAATCAACTTTTGTTATATGAATTTGTCAGAAAATTCTCAGCCACACAGTGACTGCAGCTAATAAGCAATAGCCTATAAGGGGGATTCCCCTGCCCATGCTGTTTAGTGTGGATGTGGGAGAGAAAAAACAAATAATGTATGGCCAGCCTAACAACTCTGAGTCTGCCTAGGCTGCTGACATCACATCCAAGATGGTGGCAACAGTCTCAGGGTATTGGAATGTCTACACGTAGGATGCTTCTACGGGAAACTCTTATGCAAAAATACTGTATGTTAAAAGCACATATAATAATATGGTTGCTGAAATACATGGTCTGGTGACAGGGTCTCTTAAAAGCCCAACTCCAGTCAAGAGTTTTATTTCATTTTGGATAGCATGGGGAAGGTTTATAGCAGGATAAGCAACCTTGGCACTGCAGCTATTGGTGAACTACAAGTTCTGTGAGACATTTCAAGGCTTCATTACATCGACATGGCTCCCAGAGGCAGGGGGCTGATTGCATTTGTAGCTTCACCACAGCTGCAGTGCCAAGGTTGCCCACCCCTGGTTTAGAGATATGGGTAGAAGTATACAGACTGGATATACTGCAGGTAATGAGACAGACCTTTTCTGCTGCTTCTGATGAAATGTTGCAGGTGTTACTGGGTGGGTAAATCCTCTTGCACCTCTTGTCTCCCCCATGTAGTGCCCAGGAATTGGCAAATTCATAGCTCTTTTCTACAATAATGCCTGTGTTTAAACAAAAATAGCTTATTATTCAAATATGCAAGTTTCCAATACTGAGGGTTAATGTATTGTGGTTGCAAAACACAGTAACTAAACAATATTGCTATAGCAGGATTGTATTTATGATCAACATTAATGTCTTAAAGTGATTTTAAAGAAAAAAATGTTTTAATTTCAAATGCTGATGAAATCACTTGCAATGGGCACTGTTTCTTGATGTTTAGAAGTTTTAGTTTTCTGAGGAATCAGCTGGTTCCCTGAGTGCTGGCCCTGATATTATTATTATTATTATTATTATTACATAGTATTTATATAGCGCCAACAGTTTGTGCAGCGCTTTACAATATAAGGAAGACATTACAGTTACAATACAATTCAAGACAAGATGGTAAGGAGGGCCCTGCCCCTGAGGGCTTACAATCTAAAAGAGGAGGGGGAAATGATACATGAGGTAGCTGTGGTAGCTGTGGGAATGAATTATGATATCTTATTGTAAGGTGGTTCCTTTCCTTTGCAGGGTCCTATGGAGCCACCCTTGTGTGTGCTAGTAAGCTGTTTGTCTCCACAAACGCACAGGCACAGCAAGACAAGACACTCCCCTCCCTCCTAGTCCCTGCTCCTTCGTTCTCCCTTCTCCAAGCTAGAAGATAGACAACGGCTAGAGACTATTTTGACATTTGTAATCGTCAACTAGACAGGAAGTTCAGGGAAGTGGAGCTGAGGGAGTTGGAGCTGTTCTGAAACATGATGACTCCAAGTGTTTGGGCAACAATGCAAAGGAATGCTTTGCCGTGCAATGTGTATTTGCTTGATCTGGATTTATTTTTGAAAAACGTTTGAGAGTGGGGTTGTGGGCTATGAGGGCTCCAATCAAAATAGCAAGATTAGTGTGTTATGACAGCTATATGATGCCTGAAAGAGCTTTAATAGGGCCCCTGCAATAGTCAATGTGTGTAGAGCGAGTGGAAGAGAGAGTCAAGCCATGGATATCAGTCCAGATATCATTTCTATTTATCACAAAGTGGGCTATATAAAGATCCTATTTAATCATGACTTAAATCTTATGTGCTAAAGGAACCTGGATGGTTAATCTTTTTCCCTGGAGCCTATATGTAATAGATAGTTACAGCTCGCTCCAATTACTGTTTTAGCATTTTAAGGGATCTTTATACAACCTCAGAAAGGGTTGGCTGTCATTCTTTCAAATAAACCTTTATTGTGACAAACAAAATTTTTGTTGGACTTATACAGCATGTCTAATGACATACATGTTAAATGCTGCTTGAACAAAGATGGTGCTGCTCTTCTCAAAAGAAGAGCAGATAAAAATAGGTATTAACAGGGGAATACTGTGATCTCTCTGGCAGGTAATAAATACTTACATATTACTTAACATACATGCACATGCCATGAAGAAAATGTGATGCTCGGTTCACGTGAGAAGAGTAGATCCATTGATTCTATTTCAAATATTTTTTACTAAAGCAATGAACAGGGGAATTATTTTATTCCTTTTTTTATTTATTTTTTATAAAGTTGACGACCTAAATATTCAAACTTTTGTTACTCTTGTTGAGCATCAGGAAAGGTCTGTAAAGACTGATGAAAGCAGCTGTAAGTAGAATGTTCTCATAACTCTAATTGGACAGTAGCCATGACTCTGTGGCAAATGTCCAATCTTCATTATCTACTCAACCCATATGGGACCCTAGTAGTCCTATCCCTGGGAGGAAGGGAACTCGGGTTTATAATAATAAACTTAGGTTTTTCGTGCAATTTCAACACAGACATATTTTTCAAAACCCTTTCAGCAAACACGCATGAAGAAGTGACTGAATTCTCCCTCTGGGTACTAACTGTGAGAATACAGCACGGACAGTTCCATGAATGGATTTTAAATACAATTGTTGTTATTATTATGATTATTATTATGATTATGATTATTATTAAGGATTTATATAGTGCCAACAGTTTGTGCAGTGCTTTAAAAAATGGAGGGAGACAATACGGACACAATACAGGAAAGTTAGGAGGGCCCCGCTCGTAAGAGCTTACAATCTAGTGCACTGCAGTGGTTATCTAAGGCAGCCTTGGATGGAATCTTTTATTCTGGGCTGCAGTTATGACTTTACTTGTACTAAAGCTGAACAGGTTCTAAATATCAGGAATCTAAATCCAAAAACAACAATTGCAGCTTACCAATTCTTAAATGTGGTGGCTGCATTAGATTTAATTTTGTCTTCTTAGATTTTTATTTTTTTTAGGCTTTTTCCCCTTTATTTCCACCCAGTGATCCTACTAGTAACACACTTCCTGTCTTATGGTGGCTATACTCATCCTGCACTGTATCGATGGAGGAGCCATGGAGCCACCATTGGACAGCAGCACTGCACCCTGTGGAGAGGGTGGTGTTAGATACGCTAGCAGATTTAGATGAACTTGACTAAAGACGAACTCCAGCTATAAACGTTTAAGTAGTTACAGCAACTGTTTTTAGGGGGGATAAAGGTTTTACATTAATAAATAAAAGCCGACCATTGTCAGCACCCCTGTCAGTGTTTGTCTCAGTCCTTTATCTGTCACGTATGCTGGACAGCTTGGCCTGTTAAAGGAATTTGAAAAATAACACATTTACTGGCTGGATCAACAAGAAAAAAAAAAAGGATAAAAAAGCTTTAAAAAAAAACCAAAACTAATGCAGCCACCACCTCTAAGGAGTGGTAAGCTGCAATATATTACATTTTTGTTTTAGGGGTTTAGATACCCTTTAAAGAGGAACTTTACCCATATCTTCAAAATAACAACAAAGGCAGCTTTAGAAATGTTTAATAATGACAATCTACAGACAGATATTTCTAGATAATCGCCAGCTTTTTATTTTTTGCATAGTTTATATCTTTTTTTCTTCCCCATCTTCTCACAGTTACCATTTTAACTAAGGGCAGATTACTAGTTCTCCCTTTACTTCCTAGAACTCTGACACATGTGACTAGGACATGTGGCCATGCACACCATCTCAGGGGAGGAAAATGCCTTTCCCTGAGATCTCATGAGGTTACAGATGAGATTTTTCACAGCACTGCTCTACTGATGTAACCTTCCCAGGATGCACTGCTTGGGCACATTACATCATTTGTGCTAAAGTGGACCGGGAAGTAGAAAAAAAAATTGTAAGTAAAATAAAAGTATGTTTGTTTAGCTAATGAATGTAAGATGATTTCATATCTGCATGCAGAGCTGTATGCTGATGTGATTTTTACTCAAAGGGGGTAAAGTTCCACTTTAACTGTCCCCAAACCAGGGGATTGATTTATTTAACGGTTTTTAAAGCATGTATTTGGCTTCACCGGTAAATCTAAGTAAACTTAAAGTAGATGTAAACCCAGTTACTAAAATTGCCTATAAGCGATAACATGTTAAAGTGCATGTAAACCCTAATGCTAAACTTCTGTTATTTAGTCTGCTTTGGTCTGTTAAATATAACATTACAACTGTCTTGTTATATGTGTTTGATAAGTTAAAAGGTACCTGTAGATTATGCCAGAAATATTGTAGTTTGATAATGTCCTGTTCTCTCTGACTGTTATGAGTTACAGTTGTTCTCTGAGGACTACAGAACCACACCCCTTTATGTTATAGTAAAAAGGAGTTTGGTAATCTTATTTTGTTTCTGTAGTCCTGATACAGAAAAAGCACTGTCACCCTAGTGCTGGAAGTGTGCTACTGGCACAATAACCAGGTGACAATCATGTAAAAAATGTAAATGCAGCCACAATATCTAAGGATTGGTAAGCTGCAATATTTTTGTATTTTATTTTGGGGTTTAGATATCCTTTGAAGGTTATCCCCAGGTAAATTAGACTCTCAATATATAAATCAGTGGTGGTCAACCTATTAGATATAGGGGGCCTCCTGTGCAGCCTCTGATATCACCAAAGTGCCATAAATAATAGTCAATGAATGTAATGCTACAAAAAGCTGTCAGAGACTTCAGATTTGTAACAGTAGATAGTAAAATATTGCAGACATGATACAAGATATGATATGAGACTGCAGACCTGTAGCATGAGATAGTCATAAACTGCAGAAATAATGCAAGAGATGGTCAGAAACTGTAGAAGTTAGTCAGAGACTGCATTAATGTCACAGGAAATGGTTATAGACTGCAGGCAAGCTATAGGAGTTATTGGAGACTGGGGACATACTTCAGAAGACTGTCTGACACAGCAGATATGTTACATGAGACTGCTAGACATTATTGGTGTAAACACGCTTTATATTAAAAAAAGGGATTTGCAGCACAGAAAAAAAGTATGATAACGTGAAATAAATAAAGCAGCAAACAATTACCTACTAGAAGACATTTGAAAGAATAGTTCTCCTTCAATGGCTTAAGAAAGCCCCAAAACACAGAATGCTATCTGCGGGGACCCCATGCAGTAAGTGCTAAAGGGCCATCGTGGCCCGCAGACTGCAAGTTGGGCACCAAGAACATAAATAATGAATCACTGTTTGTGCTTATCCATCGTATTCTCTTCCTCTCTGGGATTCTGACATTAATCAAATCATTTTGTGGTAATGCAGTGCTGAAATGTAAATCTGAAAAACTGGACATCCTGAAGTAACATTGACAAGATGCTGTCTACGTTTTACTCTGTTCTTGTTGCAACTCATTCTTTACAAGCAGACATCTTCCTCCTTCCTTATAGCTCCCATGTCATGAAACATCTTGTGTCTTCTATCCGGGCTGTTGTTCCTGCCTGTTATCAGCACCCGTCGTCTGGACACATCTCCCAGTGTCTCTTGTCACGCGCAGTAGTTTCCCCCCCTGGCTCAATGGTCACTACAGGACTGGCTGGTGGGACCACCCACTGCTTATGATGAGGAAACAGGTATTCAACCCATCTGACTGGTTGAATACTTGCAGCTATCGGGCTAGAGCCAAAGATGTGGTATTTCAACAAATGTGTACAACAAGGTGTACATATCACATGTCTGGTTGTTCGGCTAAGCATTCACTGTGAATCAAACCAAAAAATAAGGATCCGTTTACCTTCTTGAGTCAAGAAATCGTCTTCTGCAAACTGATTGAAGTTACCACAAAGGCCGCACGACCTGTTAAAATGTTCGTTTGAAAACACAATTTGCACATTTCCGTTCACGTCAATCTTCACCATTATCCCATGTTCGGGACTAGACAATTTGTGATATCCGGCCTCGTTTTCCAAGTAGATCCCGTTAGATGCATACGGCATGGAAATGCTGTTAGAACAGAAGGGAAAGCAGCCAATCGTTAATAAAAACAACTGTCATTCAACGCACAGGGACATAGGACATTCCATTCTGTATCCCTCCTAACCTTCTGCTCTTGTTTATCACTGTCGATTTACAAAATGGCTGCTTTCTGAACTGAAAGTTTAATGAGCTGTCCCCATGGAGCCAGCCTAAGCATATTGGAGGATGAAAATGTCTATGTTTCTCAATGGACGCTCCTTGACCCTGAGGAGAGGGAACCTTGACTGCTGCGAACATGGGGGTATGTAAGGTGTTAAGGTTAATCCCTCCTGCTCAGCAGTAAGTCTATTTTATTGGGGTACCGACATTTAGGGAGGAGAAAAGGAAGATACATAAGTTAGGGAAGGTGGGTGGTCTAGCCTCTTGTGTTTAAGCCACCAAGAAGGACCACCCCCGCCTGCCCACCACTTTACAAGTATTATAACCTTGCCAGCTTGAATTTACATCTCAATAAGGCAGATAGAGTTTGTTGTTTGGACACCTGGTGGAACTCAAGGTGAAGATAGGTCATCTCAATGTTATACTGTACCTTTACCATTACTGGGTGCTCACAGTTTGTCTGTGCCTGGCACAAATATGTGTTGGAATTAATAAACAGGATAAACCTGGAAGGATAAACCTGTTAATAAAACTGTGGCCTTGCCCATCCAATGAAAATTCTGTGTCGAGTCATATACTGTATTTGTAGAGGCGCAGGGATTGCTTGGGAAGCAATAAAATTATATGGCTGAACTATGATACACAGCAGTCAAGGAACAGTAAGACTCTATTGTTACAGTCATCGTAGCAGATTAGAAGAGGAAAGACCCCCATCAAGGGCAATGCATACAGTCCAAACTCCTTCAAATGCGAGGCCTAACAATTATACAGCAGCAATAAGAAGCAGTACTGAAAGTCCAACTCCAGCCGAATGTTCTATTTCACTTTGCAAAGATCAGGGGAAAACAATCCAGGTCCCTATTGGAAAATGTTCCAAAACAGGACAGGAAGTGATGTAATATTTCTCCAACAGGGACACCAAAACAAAAGCACTTGCTAGTAAGACTAGACTGGGGAAGGGTTAGAACTTCTGACAATGTTCATGTCTTCCTGCGGTTGTGGCAGCCACTCCCCCTATTTCTTGTATAATTGTTTCATAGGACAGTTAGTAAGGGAAATTCTCCCCAACGGGGTCCAAAGCAAAAATATAAACCTGACATAAGGTTCAGGTCTTCCGCACTCTATCCAAAATTGAAAAACAATAACCACGGTTCTAACAACCAAACACATTTTCACATTAGCAAGCACAGATATTTTTGTGCATGCCCCAAGTAAATGTAGCCTTCATAGGTGACTTCAATAAGAATAGAAGCAGTGCTATTTTCTATAATTGGAACTCTTTTGATAAAAACCCATATCATTCCTATTTTCCTTCACCGCAGCAACTGGCTACAGTTTATAGTTGGAATTTTCCTGAATCCTCATCACCCTGTATCTTTTACTGGCTCACTTCTTCTCTCACAGATATTCAGATGTTTTGCATGCTGCATGGTATCCCTGGTATGCCTTTAAAGCGTTTGTCAAGCAAAATTAAAAAATATATATTTTATCCCTTTAACAACACTACAGAATAATAAGTACAGGATAATAACAGTGGATGTATTATGTCCACTTTGACATGACAACACAGCATATTTTTAGCTTTGAATTCCTAACCTAGAGTAGTCAGCCCTGCCTAATTCATTTTTGATGGATTACAAAGAGCACAGACCTCTCCTCATTTCCTCTTCCTCCTAATCTTTATAACCTCTCCTTGTGCACAGGCAGAGAGCACAGGATGTTATCAGTTCATAGGATTTCTTGCAAAATCAACAGGTGATTTATGCACGTATTGAGCAAATATAACAAATTACTTCTTGCAATGGAATATTTAGCAGACCAAAAGAGAACAAACAAGAGCAGGTTATTGTTAGGGTTTACATACCCTTTAAATTGTAAATAGAACTAAAGTCCTAATATAAGGAATTTTTAGGAGGTAGTCTCTTTTGCCAAAAAATAAACTGTCCTCTTGTACCTAACATTTCTAAATTTTTGAAATTTTCCATGCACAACCCCAGCTCATTTCTGGCATCTGTAAGAGTCGGTTAGCGAGGATGATGTTAAACACTTGCACATGGTAAGGTGCTACCTCATACATGGCCACTCTACTCTGGCATACTCTGACCACTCTTACATGGCCACGTGGCTAAGGAAGAGCTATGGGCGAACCTAGAAGAGGTGGCAGAGAAGATGATGGCGCCTTTGGGTGGAGCAGTGACTGAAATCCTGGACCGGCTAGTGCTGGACGAGGGCACACTAATAGGTAGCATGCTATAATGAGCAAGTATCCATTGCATTTAACTTTCACAAATGAGAAAGAAAATGAAGCAGCTGATAACACACATCACATGGTACATAAACCATTCTGTTCTTATTACCTCTTTTCTCCTTCAGTTGCCGTTCCATCAAAAAACATATGAATGTCATAGTATTCTCCCAGATACATTGAGATGCTCTTCTTTTTACCTTGTCTGTAATCCACTGAAATAGTAAAATTCACAGAATTAGATATAAAATATTATATTAATACAGCACCTAATATGTTAATTTCTGGACAGGTGTAAAGTAGCTCTCTGTTAAGCATTGAGAACAACCTTTTCCTTGGATTTGTTTATCACAAATACATGAGCAAGGTAATGTCAACTAAACCTGTTTTACATCAAATGAGTATTAAAACATATATGTATAAAATATAGGTATAAAAGAACAATTATTTACACACGTACCTTGAAGGGAGAAAGTATGTTTATGGCAATCTCCGGCTACCATATAGCTGCAGTCTCCGACAAAATCGTAGAATGTTCCATCAAATGTCCTGATGTGGTTTTCTCCAAAGAGACTGCATCGTGAGAGCAATGACCAATTTGGCTTACCAAATACATCCAGTGGAGTTCCTAGGATCACATATTTAAATAAAGAGAATAAATATCAAATGACATGAAAATCATTTGAATATAGTTGGGCATTTAATTTCAAGCATGGAGCATTAGCAATTTCCAAAACATTTACTATGATCCGCAAGCAATGTAACGGCTCTGGCACCTCCCCCATCATCACTTTGATTGACATTGATAAGAACTGCATTAGACACAGGAAAGCCACCGCATTTGTATTGCGTGCACTAGCATGGTCCTATTAGACTCTAGCTGCCTACAAGTTCATCCTCCCTTTTGAAGTGACATGTAAGTGCACAGCTTTTACCAACTGTGCTATCCCACCTGGTTTACTGCAGGAGTATGAAGGTTATAGCCGGGCCTCCTTGGGCATCCAAAGGGTCCTAAGCTCCTACCTAGGTTGCCTTATGAATGAGCAGGTTTTGTCCTTAGCAGCCAGACAGATTATTAGTGGTTGCGCTTGTTAAGTGCATTAATGGCACATTATTGCTGCCCTTGGTGGTATTTGAACACAGGCCACACTATACTACCATGAGCTGCTCATGCAGCATTCGGATTGAGCACAATCGCTGCTGCAAAAACGACACCCTCTGAGGGGATTTTATCAAAATTGGAGCAGACAAAATCTGGAGCAGTTGTGCATGGCGACCAATCAGCATCCACCTTTCATTTTCAAAGCTTAACTGAAAAAAATTGAAGAGATAAGCTGATTGGTTGCCATATGCAACTGCTCCAGATTTTGTCTGCTCCAGTTTTGATAAATCCTCTCATCTGTGTTATCCAAATAGCTAAGGATGCCCAGATACCAGTTCAGATACCGGTGCCGATACTTGGCATTTTCATGAGAACTACCAGGGTTGCAGCGGTTGCAGCTTGGACCTGGCTCTGGGGCTCCACCACTGTCCTGAAATCATTAGTCTGTATTGTTTTAGAAAAACTGTCACATGACAATAAACAAAAATGTATCAGTACTTGTATCTGTAAGTACTTGGGCAAGTATCAGTACTTGTACTTGCAAAAATGGTATCGGTGCATCCCTTTATATATATTTATAAAAACAAAATCATACATTAAACCAGAGATGTACAAATCCCTGGAGCTCCGTGTGCTCCTTATAAATGACAGCTGCCTCCTAACTTTTCAATGTCTCTCTATTCTAGTCTTAAGGTGCCCATACACCTTACAATTATCGTACGATTTTCGTACGGCGGCCCCATCCTGACCCGATTATTGCACGGTTCAATTAGCCATCATTAAAGAAATGCACCTGAACGAATTGCTGCAATCGACCGCACGTATTTATCGTTTGCACATGAGCTGTGTTGATCGTACGCTTTTTGACGTACGGAAATGCCAATAACCTTGCGAAAATCGTACGATCGACCAAGGTTTTCAAACCTGCTTGAAAGTCAAAAGTCGTACGATTGTACAGTATTTGCGGTTGTACACTGCCCATCAACCTTGCGATTATCGGACGAAAACACGATCGCATACGATTATCATACGATAATCGTAAGGTGTATGGGCACCTTTAGAGCTCGAAAGTATCTGTACTTGTATTTCTACTGAGTACGGTACTTGGTATCGGTGCATCCCTACAAATATTTGCCCTTACATATAAAACCCTGTGATGAAAAAGTTAATGGCAAGGCAAGTTTTTTTAGGCATTAAACTGGGTCCAGGTATAGCAGCAATGAATAGCTTTTTAGCCTCATATCTGTCTGGCAATTTTCAAGAAACTATTAAAAAATTGGTCTTGGCAAAAAAATAATGAAAAAGACTTTAGTACATTTTATGAAAGGGAACTAAAGGAACTCAAAAGTAATTTCCAAAACTATCCCTCACTTTTGGACAGGCAGCAGACCATTTTGGGGTGGATCCTTTATCCCCTCTTAGCTAACTATGCAACCACAACCACTTGTGTATAGTGTTCTATACACAAGTGATTACAGTGAATACAACCTTCGCTATAATTCAGTGTTTTCTGGATATACAGTTAATCAGAGGGACATAAAGTAATTGTAAGGTTTAGACATTGCACAAACAGATGAAAAGTACCCCTTGTTTTGTTTGGGTTTGAAGTGATGTCATTTCAATACCTTCTGTGTGAACAGACATACAGTACTAAGTTTTATCATAGGACATAGACTCTTCGAGCAATTTAACATAAACTCGTGTGCCGGTATCTGCATGATTTAATGCATCGCGGATTGCGCTGCTACCACATGATTTGCTGATTAGAAAATTGCATAAAACATTAGGGGTACAGGTGTTCCTAATAATTGTTTGGTGAGTTCAATTAATTCTATTATGTAATCAGTAACATCTGTATGGGTCTTACCTGGCGTCAATGAGCAGACCAGCACTGTAACAATGACCTGCAGGCCCCTCATCTGCATTAAAAACAGTACACATTAATTAGCACAATGGTTGGTAAAATGGTTAATACACAGAGTCAGCTTGTGAGCAGTTTATATTATTGTAGTGAGAGTTAGAAACCTACGAAAACTGTCTAATCAAATAGAGAAATTACATCTGAATATGTAATATGATAGAACTTCTTGGAATAGATTTCTTGAACCCCTTCATTCTACCACTACCATATTAAAGCAATAGTCCGGCTAAATTTTTTTTAGTTCTGGGTAGAGTGGGGTAGGATTAGAAGCTGTATCAATTTTTTACTATAATCCTGTGCTCCGTTGGAGGGATTTCCCCCTTACATACTTACACATACACATATTTCGCAGAATCTACAGGGATATGGGAAGTGTTAGAGCAAGATAAATACACACACACACACACTAACATACACACACATATAGGTTAAACTGGATGGACCTTGGTCTTTATTCAACCTTACATACTATGTTACTGTAATGATGACAGCGGTTTCACCAAACAGGAAGCAAGGAGCAATTTGCAACAGGGACGCAAACAGCAATAATAGCCTGATAGGGGTTCTAGCTTTACACTACTCTACAAAAAAAAATGTATTTGTGTTTTCTATTCAAGATTTTCCCTCACTTCCTGTCTGGGGAAACTGTTGTCACCGCAACAACAAGTGCAGGGAAATCTCTCAAGCAGAGACCCAGATAGCAACAATAGTAACAATTCAATGGGTGTTCTAATGCTTTTGGCAATGCCATTACTGAGATCGGCACAGCTTTAAATCAATAATACTATAAGGATTATTCAATACAAAATGAAATGAGCAAAGCATAAGGGCAGAGTGTATTACCAGAAGTCAAGCAATCTGATTTCAGTCTGTACTCATCAAGTACCATTTGATTGGTTGCTCTAGATTCCGACAGAACTCTTCTTCTTGTGCTGCTTATTCAGTAAGCTTGTAATTTTTCATGGTGCTCTTATGAAGTTGATGGCACTATTTTTAAACCTATTTTACCCAAAAGTATTGGACAAAGGCTGGCGTATGGATAAAGCATTATACCAGTTAGCCCTCTACAAACTAAGAAGGTGTCAAAGACATAACATATATCATTATGCCACGTAGCAGCAATCATCGATAATTTAGTGATTAATCAAAAGCAGTTTTAGCAGTGCTGAAAATTTCTAGCCGTATACATTAAAAGGCGTCAAATGGATTCAATTCTTGCTGCTGCCTATAAAAATAATATTAATTTTGAAATCCATACTTAACATTCTGCCTAAATCTGTAATTGAAAGTAGAACTATGGACTCCAATGAGTACAAAAATAGAGTATGTGCTGCAACACTTAGTTATAAGTATATCTGCACTTACAATTTACTTACTGTTCATTCATCCTGCCAGTGAAGTCCACCTAATGCACCTTACTCTGAAGGTGTGGCAACAATGCTGCAATGCTCCTGAATTCAGAGCAGAATTTCCACTCTCGCGTTGGCTGTGCCTGCTCACACTACCGTAGGATGAACAAATGTTGGATGGGGTATAGCTATCATCATTGTTACTGCTGATTCACAAGCCTGAAACTTGTAAATCAGTAACTGGCCCTGTCCTGTTCTAGTCCTGGCCACTAGCCACTACCAGAAAACAGAAAGGGGCATAAGATCACTTATGGAACACAAAAATATTACAAAGCCCTTCACAGTCGGTGTTTTAAGGGTCAAAGTGAATCTGACTCTCATGCGTTTTATACATTTAGCAGAATAGTACAGAACAGAGTGTGGAAGTGCTAACTACAACAAATTGTAGTGTGGCATAAATTATTGGATTTTTGGATGTGTTTTTACAAATTGTGTGCCCAGGGTGCAAAATGTCTATGTAAGCACAGAAGGATTTCTTAGTCAGGTGATGCTGCAAACTATAATGGTGATATTTACAGTGCAACAACCATCTAAACCAACAAGGTAGCCTAAGGTCAACATGGAGCAGTTCAAGTGGTGAAAAAGGATTGGTCATTGAGGATTTCAAACAGTGTACTGTATTATGTTTCTAGAGAGGATAACCATACAAAGTGCCAAATGCAATATAATTTCATTACAAAATGAGAAACAGAATATATGATGCAAATATACAAAGTAAAACATCTAAGTATTCCTGTAGTAATAATAATAATAATACAATTATTATTATTAATGTTGTTGTTATTATTAAATTAATATTCTTACTAGAACTGGTATATTATTACTTCCAGTGGTATAAAACATACATTTCAACTGTAGTAAAAAATAGATTTCAGGAATGTAAACAAACTAATAATTCTCTAGTATTATATACAAAAAAGAGTAACAAAATAAAAAAAAAAACATTTTATACATTCCATTTAAAAATTAAAAATTGTTGACAATAAAGACTGTCAAAACATATTTAAAAGTTTCCAAAATATGTTCGTAGTTAACATTTCAATCAGTCTAAGTAAGTGCTTCTGTAAATTACCTTGAAGTGAAGAGAATTTGAAAACCCCAAACAAAATGATGGTTCCAATGCTCTCTAGTAGCCCATAGTCCCCTTATACCGTATGCTTTCACTACTGGACTATAGTGTGGCCACCAAGGGCTCTGACATCTTATGTATACCTAAGGCAGGAACTTTTGTTCATTAAAAGGAAAGATAACTTGGTGAGTGCTACATCCGTCCAAATCAAAACACAATGGTGTAAAATCGCTATCAGGAAAATCAGTTGGCTTAATTACCAGACGGGAACAATGAAAGGAAACGACCAAAAGAAAAAAAAAAGTTCATGAGTGATTAGAGGTTGTATGTGAGAATTCATTGCTGCGATTGATGATGAGCAAACAAAAACGAGATTGTGGAATTTTGACAAAAGAATGTTTGTATTTTGGGCGTGTTTTTGATTATATAATACATTTTAAATCCTTTAAAAATAAAGAAATTAATTTTCTCCATCAGCTGATCAAAGTAACCCTATTAGTCACCTAAATAATTAAATAGCAAGTCCCCTGATATATATATATATATATATATGTGTGTGTGTGTGTGTGTATTTTTTTTTTTTTTACTGTATATTATGTGTTTTACCTGCCAAGGCATTGGAATTTCTGTCCATTCAGTTTTAAGGCGAATAGTACAGCCCTCTTTGGCAGGTTTTTTTCTCAACTGCAGTTAATTAATATGTACAGGTTTCCTCCCGAGCCTGTAATTGGACAATGAAGACACATTAATTGCTCAGTGCAACTGATTTGCACTTTGTACTGCTTCTCCCTCCCCTATTCTGAGCTCTGCTGTACAAGGACTGCAAGAGGCTTAATGCAAGTCAAATTCAAGTACGTACACTGCTTGAATTTCAAAAATACATACAGAGCTGCATTCATTTGTGTCTTTTACACCTCTCTGTAGCTCAAACAAGCTTTGCTGAACACAAATACAGATTTGAGGGTAACACGGTTCACATATTCAGTATATATGTCATCTCTGTAGTTGCTTGGCTGTAATTAGCTGGTTTAAACAGTAAAGTTAGCTGTCATTTTGTAATCTGAACCAATACTGGAATGCAATTGGTTGCTACTGGCATCACCTCCACATTCCAATCCTCGTGTCTTTATACCTGCTGTCACCATTTATTATTGAGCTGATGCTTTCAACTGCCAATCTACCGAGATTATTTTTCATGTATTTAAACCAAAGCCATTAGCCGGACACAATCGAAAACACAATACTGACTCTCCCTGCCTGTCTCCTTCAATATCACTGAACATGCTCTTATGATGCTAATAGATTTGATTTGATTGCTTCTTAGGAAGAAAGTGCTCCTAAGAAATACAGTGCTAACGCAATTAGGCCGGGAAGTGGACAATGTTGACAATGTGAGCAATGTTGTTCAGCCTCTCGTGAACTTTTATTCCAACTGCTTAAGTCTGATAAGAGTCATGTAACAATAATCCAGACATCAGATGGGGGTTCTAAGACAATGCCAAGTAATAAGTAAGCGCTCATTCATAATGTTTCTTGTGTCATTCTATAACTTGCTCAACTGATGGCCTTCAAGCCATTTGAACCAGAGTTTTTAGAGCCTGAGAAGTTGTCACCTTAGGTCAGGAAGTGTGTTAGGTAGGGATGCACCGATACTAGTATCTCGTACTCGCCCAATACCCCTACTATCTCGTACTCGGGCGGCGAGTCAGCGAGTCATTACCCGCACCTCCGGCTTCCTGACTGGCCAGAAAGCCGGCTCCACGCTTTCTCGTCACCTGGTGACAAGGGAGCATAGAATTGGGAATGACTCGCTGCACGGCTTCCTGATTGGTCGGGAAGCTGGCCAATCAGGAAGCCAGGCGGCGAGTCATTACCAGAGCATAGAGCCAATTTTCTAACCAGAAGCTAGGGGGCAGGTAATAACTCGCTGCCCAGTTTCCTGATTGGCCAGCACGCCGCACAGCTTCCTTAAAGGGACTTCCAGTATCGGTATTTGGTATCGGCGAGTACCAAAAGAAAAGATATTGGTACTCCTACTCAAAAAAACAAAAAACCAGCATCGGTGCATCCCTAGTGTTAGGATTACAAAACACTAACCCACTCTTCTCTTATAAACATGGGGGAGTTATTTTGTAGTTAACCTGGGCAGGGCTGATAAGACTCCTTGCGATTTCAATGCAGCAGAGGCACTGTGTTGACAGCTCAGTACAGGAAGTTAGAGGCTCACTGGATTTCTGGCAGCGGGTATTTTCTTGCTTTTAAGGAACAGATATAAGAAAATGTTTTAAATTGTATATTTACCAAAAAGTAAGCAAACATGAGAAGTTTATTGCTAAGGTTTTCATGGGATTGTACACTCCATTAACACCTATCATACCATAACAATAAACCTAAATAATAAAGTAAAACACAACAAAAATTGTGGTAAAACTGTAGACCGCTGCCCCTTTATTGGGATTACCATTGGATAACCATTAACAGACCACCATACTTAGTCTTCCAAACTGAAGCACCAATAACTTAGGCCAGCCAAATTACCAACCACTGTTCACCCACAAAGTTGGCAACATTACCCCATAAAGATTGACCAAGACAAAAGAAAAAAGAGCAAATAGGAGGGTGGGTGGGGAGCAGGTCAAAAGATCCAGAAGGAAGGCTGAAGTTAATCCAGAGGTGAGTCCAGCTGCCAGTCCTGATGTAACTGCTGACCCCACCCAGTGACAGGAGTGACTGTAGAGGTGAAAGGTTACACTCATTGGCCTGCTGTTTTCCTGCCAAAAATCTGTCACCAATCTTGTGCTCAGCTGATTGAAGATCTGTCCAGCAACCGAGGTAAATCTTCCTAGCAACAGCAGGCAGCGTGTAACCTGAAAAACAAAGCAGAGCCAGTAAAGCAGCCGCAGAGAGACATGTACCTAACAGTCACCGCAGACCTTTATTTGAATATAATTAGTTTTAAAAACACATGGGTAACAGGGGTGACAATCCCATGGGGCCATTTTCCTGTTTTTTTCTTTCATGGCCCTAACAGACACATTAAAGGAGAACAATGGGGTCAGTGTTTTTCCCCATAGTTCTCCTTAGGGTAACGGGAGGACACAAACTAGCGTCCTCCCGTTACCCTAAGCTCAGAGGACGGGATCCATCCAGCTGCGTGAGTGACAGCTGGCTCTGCCTATCTAGAGGCAGAGCCAGCTGTACCCGCCCACTCCCCCGTCCGTTCCGCCAGTCAGCGCTCGCAGATCGGAGCGGGGAGAGGGGAAACCTGTCCCTCCCCCTGTCACGCCAGAGAGCCGTGACAGGATCGAGAGGCGAGCGAACCCGGTATGTGTTCGCTCACCTCCCGATCTACTGAGCCGACCTGTGACAGTCTCATTGTCACAGGTCGGCTAGAACTATGAGGTGAGTGAAAAGTTTTCCTTTAAAGGATAACAAACTTATAACATACATGGAAAGCCAAAACTCTCTTCTGTAGTTTTGATTACAGTATAACTTTAACAGTGTCGAGCATATTTCATTTACCTGGCCTCCGCAATAATATAACCTATACCTAGGGATGAGATTCAGGTTGATTCTGAATTTGCAATGAATTTCCAGAATTCTGATTTCATTTAAAATTGCAAATTTTGGGGAAATTCATGGCTGGCAAATTTTGGCACTGACCATAATGCGCTGTTCAGCTTTTGGTTAGAGCATCAGAGCAGCCAATAAGGAGTGAGAGTAGGATAAACCAACTCCTCACTATAAATGGAGGACTAAACCAACCATACACACCTTAATCAGATTTAAAAACAATGGGGTTATATTTTCAATTTCAAAGTTTTTATTAAGTTTTCAAATAAAAATATATAGTCTTGGAGAGATTTACATACAACAATCTGTATACAAAGTATTGAGCAGAGACACGGCGTAATAGAAAACATAGTCCATATATCATACAGAACTACAGAACGAACATAAGTACCCAGTAATTATAATATTAGCAAAAGGAAGGGTACAAGATTACTGCAAAGGTAAGTAATACCGGTGTGCAAAGTGTAAACAACCTTTACAGTATTTCTGTGTCAGCATGTTGTAAAAACAAATAAAAATGTAAACTTCTAAGAAAGAGAAAAGAGAAAGAAGGGGCAAAGCCCGGAAAAATAGTAAGACAGAAAAAATGGAAGAGAGGAACCTCACAGCCGCACTGTAACTACCCCGAAACCATAGTGAAGGTGGGAGCCCAGAACATTACTTGCAAATCATCTATGATATAGCCAGTTGCATAGTTCCCTCCCAACGTCCTCAAATGCCACGGAAGCTAGAAAAGTTCATATCAGGATGTTGGCATCTTATCCAAGGTTCCCAGACACTGAGGAATTTAGGGTGCTCATCAAGCAGAACACTCGTTAAACGTTCATCTAGCATAACATTATCCATCCAAGTAACAAACTCCCTATAGGGTATCAGTTGTTTCTTCCAGCTACCAGTTATTGTTAGCTTTGCCATCAGAAAAATAAAATGGGAGAGAGCTCGTTGATGTTTGTTCAATCCTGGGACACAGTAGTGAAAGAGCATATTTATTATCCCGGGGTTATATTTTCAACCAATGTGGTCATATTTTTAAATGATTGGAATATAATTTTTGATGTTTAAAAAATTTGACCCCATTGTTTCAAATAATATGACCCCATTGTTTCAACATTCATATATAAATGGGGGCTCCGAATTTTCATAAATAGGACCAATTCTTTGAAAGTCCATTTATAAAGAGGAACCCCATTTTTATAAACAGGACCCCGCTGTTTTAAAAAAAACATGAAACCGAGGTTTATAATAAGGGCCTTTTTAAAAAAAAAAAAAATGGTTATAAATAGGACTCTAAAGTTTATAAATAGGACTTTGATTATGGAAAAAATGGACCCCCACTTTTATATATAAGACCTCTTGTTTGAAAAAGGAGAAAAAAAGTTCATACATCGATCCCTACATTTATAAATAGGGATCGATGTATGAACTACGTAAATCCTTTTTAAAAGTAGGATCATGGCTATGAAATTCAGTTTTTAACTACCACCCTGATCGAGGTGTCTCGCCAGCTGTGGAGGT